GACTGGTTGATGAGCGCGCGTATTATCGCTGTACGCATAATTGCTGCAAGTACAATACTATACGATGCTATTGGACTACATGAACTCGCCAGCAACATACTATTTATTTGTTATATTTATTTTTTTTTTTTTGCTTATGCTATTTTTATATTATTTTATTTTATTTTTTAGTTTTTTTTTTCAGTTTCTTTGCTCCTGCACCTATTTGTTATCAGCGCTGTTATGTAGCTTCATCATGCCTACATTGACAGCGTATGTATGTACATATGTATAAGTGCACTCGTCAGAGTCAACGTTGTTGCTGCTGCTTATTGCCATGTTGCCGTACAGGCTGTCAGTATTGTTGCTCTTTCTTTTCACATGTAAGCAACACAAATACTACAGCAGAAATTCTAATATGAGAGTACATGCTATGAGTGTGTGTATGCGCATTGCTATCGACCGGTAGCAGGTAGCACGAATGTTGAGTAAACAATAACAAAAGAAACAATAAAAAAACATTAATAAAACAAATGCCCGCAGTGCTGTCGCGGCGCGCTGCGCGCATAACCATATACACCCAACGCGGCATTCGGCTGCGTCCGCCACATCTTCAGCACACGAGTAGCACTCGCATATGTACGTACATAAATATGTATGTATATACACAAGTTTGTTTGTTTGGCTGTATGCGCTAAAGCTTTTGCTGTTACAATTGCAGTTGTTGTTGCTGCTGAGCTACAGCTGTTTGTTGGATAACTGCTGCTGTAGCCTACGCTCTTGTTATTGCTGTTGTTGTTATGATACATTCGTTTCATGCATTTTAAGCATATTCGCTTCGGCTCCTGCGCATTTTGTCCGATTTTGCAGAGTTGTTGGATCGTACAGGCGTTTGGACGGCAGGGCGGTCGGTCGTTTACTCGCTCGTGCAACGAGTCTCACGTACACCAGCAATGCACATACGCTTACGTAAATTCGAAGAACAAAAAATGCATATAAATAGCGTGTAGAATGTGCGCGCTGGTATTAGTGCGCGCTCTGTTTTATGATGCATTGCAGCGCTGTGTGACGCGGTGCGGTGCGGTGGGTGTTCACACTCAACCAGCAGACAGTCAGTCGGCTGATGGGCCTGTAGGCGCTTTTCTTACTTACTGATGACTTGTTGTTGTATGTAGCTGCTGATTACTTTTCTGCTGCCGCAGTTGCTGCTCCTCCTGCCGGCTCCTTGTTGTTATTGTTTTGCTTGTTGGTTTAGCTCAATGCCACGACACGAGCTGTTGTTGGTTTATTTAGTTGTTGCCGCCGTCGCTACCGTTGTCATTGCAGTCTATTGTCCTGTGTAGGAGCGAGCATATTGTGCGCTATATCGCACATATCCGGCGCATAGCACTCGTGGTATTTGAGTGCACTTTCGTACTCGGCAACCGCCGGCGGGAGTGAATGAGTGTTTAAATAAGCCACATTGAGTCACAATTGTGCGCCGTGAAAGTGCTCTCACTTTGCGATGTACTCGGTACAATACAGAGTTTAGATTGTAAATATTATGTGGAAAAAAAACATCGTTGTCTATAATTAGACGACATTAAATGGAGTGAAAATGATTGGAAATTATAAAAATAAAAAACACAAAGAAAAATACGGTAATTTCATAATTTTAAGATTTCAAGGTTTTGTGCTCATTAACAATTTATTTTCGTCCAATTAATGCATACTATTAATAGAAATAATAATACATCTAATAAATAATTTAAATTTAAATTTATCTATCATTTTCACGAAGGAAGTGGAAAAGCTTTTGCTTTACTTTTTACTTAGTGGTTGCAATGATGCGCAAATCGAAATTGTTTACAACTGGCACACACATTTAATTTTAATTTACAAAAATTTGATTTCAGCTATTGTCATTGAACAAATATATATAAAATCTAAATAAACTGAAATTTTATTATTTATTTTTATTTCCTTCTTATTTATGAAGTAAACATTGCGTTTCTCTAGCAAAATAGTTTGTGCATTGTGCCTTGAAGCTTTATAATTGATGTCCTCAAATAATTTAATTAAGATTTTTTTCAGCATTTGTTTTCAAAATTAATAAAGTCTCGAAAGGTAAATCTTTTAAAAATCATTTTCGCATAGTTTTTGGTATGTAGTGATTCGTATTTTGCATATAATGAAAAAGATATGCTCTACGGAGACTAAGTATGGTAAATATCTACATATATTTTCTAATAAACAATTGCATTCGCCTTACAGAATCTTTAATAAAGATGTACCGAGAAAATGTTATAAATCGAATTGAAAAACATGCTAATATAATTCCTCAATTAGGTAGACTAATTCTTAAGCTTTTTATAGGACCTGAAGGAAACCGGGGAAGTTCATTCTAAAGTAGATTCTCTATTTTTCATTTTAAAAACGAGTTTACAAAACTGCTCCAAAAATATAATCTAATGTTAGTGCTGATTAGTTCTTTAAAAGCCACTTGCGATTGAATACAAGCATGTATGTACACAAATTTTTGTGCCGATTCTTTTGAAAAAATAGTTGCTTAAGTCATTCATGTAATTTAAAAACAATTTTCGCTCAATAACACTTAAAGCAGAACTTGATTTGTTATTACTTTTTATTAGTTAAAAAAAATTTAATGTTTTCAGTTTAATTTTTTCACAAATTTTTACTTTTATAAGAAGAAATTACTTACTTCAGGATTCTATTATTCGTAAATGAAGTTTTAATTCTATATTAAGTCTTAATTCTATTTTATTGTGAACCTATTATTCGAATTTTTTACATTTTGCATTGTTAATATTTTATTTGTTTCATCAGTGTTGTGGGTAAAATTTTAGCTACGTTAAAACTCGTTTATTTTTAAAACTTAGTATTACAACTAAATTTCTCTCAATTTACAGTTTAAAAATTTTTAATTTGGAAAATCCTTGATGGGTATAAATGATTTGTGGCAAAATTTGAGTTATTGAAGCAGCTTAAGGTAGCTTAAATTTAAAAATATGTTAAATTTTTATCAGCAACTTCGAGACTCGACGTCATGTCTTATCGTAAAACGAAATATTTACATTTTATAAAATATTTAGCCAGGTTTTTACTAGAAATCAAAGTATCTGCTTTTTAGCTACGTCGTCAATAGCAACTTAAGCATATTGCCACGTTAATATAGAAACAGTTAAAAAAATGCAATATCAATTAGATAAAGATAATTAAATTCTTTCGCTATGCGTAAATACTTTCGTCCTTTGTTACTCCACATGCCAATTCGAAAGCGATACACTGTAAAATGTTGAGTGGTTTGCAAAATATACTTACATACACACAAACATATGTATGTTTGTTGTTAGGTGGAGTGGTTAGCGGTCGAACTGCGGTAGGACAGCACGTCAGCTATGCAAACGTCATTAATGCCGGTGCATTCCCCCAATTGAATGAGCTCAACAACAATGCAACCGAGAAGAGGCTGTCCCATCACTTGAGATTCTGTAACAATGCGTTGAGCTGTTGATGCAACCGATGTTGCTGCTGTTATTGTTACATATATCCATGCTGCTGTTGCTTATCAACGGCACTTTAGTGTAATTAGTCGGTGCAGTGAGCAATGATGCGTGCGTGTGCGCCGCGGGCTGCCGCAGTGAGAGGCCAGATTCCAGAAGTATTCGCGCTGCCACTCCAATACATACATACATACATATATACATACATATATGTATATGATAATACATAGTTCATAAGCTTATCTATATTCATACATACATATGGCAGGTTTTTTTTTAGTATACATTTTGGTCAAGTGTGTAAGTAAGTTCTGCGGAACATTCGACTCTACTAGGCAACCATTCATCCATCCATCCTGCTGCGGCTGCTTCTGTTGCTGTTAGCTGCATGCCTGCTATCACTAGCTGACTGTTATATGTACGGACTGGTATATACAGAAATGCTCGCAAGTACTCAATTGAGCCAGAAACTATTACTCGCTATGACCGGCAACTATCTACGTGTATGTGTGTACATGTACACTCGTGCGCACATAAATATAACAATGGAAATGTGTGTATGGTGACGGCGCACAGCAGGGGCGCATTTTACGCTGCTTTGCCCAACGCTGTGCGCTGCGCTCGCTCTCCACCTTTATGCGCTCATTCATTAGCGCTGAGTTGCCAGATACAATTAAAAAATATACCAATAAAAAACGAAAAGTCAAACAGGGCACAATAGTGCGAATGAGTGCGTTCCGTCCTGAAGTTGGGTGCTGAAGAGAGAAGTGAGAAGTGAAATCATTTTAGTCACTTAAAGACGTAGAATTGATCCAACGCCAAAGGTCACGCTGGGTCTTATATGGCCGGCTGTAACTTGGTTGTGTTAGCCAAAAACTCCTAAAAATTAATGGAAATAAAAATGGAGCCAATCCTCATACATTGTCTAAGCGTTTGATTTTAGTAAGACCTAAACATTTAATATATAAATGTTGGGAACCTAGAAATATCATTATATAATCATCAAAGAAATAAAAAAAAATCGTGAGAGTGAGAACACGACGAGAATTTCAGCAACTTGCGTTGCAACGTGGCGTTAAAAAAAGTAACTATCGAACTATCGATGCCCTAACCTTAGGAGATTGGTATTATAATACTTAATAAATAAGCATTTAAAATATTAATATATTTTGTCTACTACACAATGTGATCAATTTCTTAAAAAAAATTATTAAACCAATTGGTTGTCTAATATATAATTTGTGCGTTCTATAGGTCTGTGCTTCAAGAACATAAAATCGAATGAAGAAATATTTTATACCTTTAATTTGTTTATTGTAAAAAATCCACCAAGTTTGTGCCAAACCAATCACATAGCACATCTGGCAACCTTCGTTTGAGCTTCCAAACAGCTGAGCGCAGCACAAAATCAAGCTGAAAATGAGTTGGTTTCCTATTGTTATTACGAGCGTGTAGACGGCGACGTTGACAGCGCCGGTAACGACGTCAACAGCGATAGCACCAGCCGACGACAGCCTCATTGCCTTATTGTCTCAGCTGACTGTGGCCAGAAGTTAGTATCAATTCGTCTTTAGAAGCGTACGGTACAATAGAGTGAATGGTGAATAATAAGTTCGGTAATTTTGTAGAGACCAGTACCCATAGACCAAGTAAACCAAGAGTAAGTTGCTGGTTCATTGTGGTTGAATTTAGAAAATTTGAATGGAATGAAAAGCCGACGAGCACCTCGCGAAGGTGGTTGAGAAATGAGGGGGCGTTTTGTGTGTGTGTATTGGCATAATAAGACAAAATTTTAAAATATTCGTGTATCTTCGAGACGGTCGAGTGGACGCGCGTATATACACGCACACACATCCAAAAAGATATTTACGCTTTCACGTGGGGCTGCTGTTGAAGTGGTTAATGGTGTAGTTGGGGTGTTTTTGCTGCCACCCTTGCTTGTGTATTGGTGTGAGAATTGTTTAGCTTTAACACGTGTATAGATTAGGCGCAGGGGTTTGGGTGGCTCTGATAGCTAAACATACCTGGGCAGACGCACGTTTGGTCAGTCGTATGGCCGAAACAATTATTGCCGCTACGGTCGTGTGGTCATACTAGTCGTGTTTTAATTTATTGAAGTATACAGCCGCTAGAGATGAGCGGAGTAAAGAGTGCATAGTACATTTGGGAGCGCTGCGAGAAACGTTAAATCCAATTGGCAACCATTGTTCAAAATCTTAACTGACAACTTCCCGGATGGACGCTCTAAAAGATAGCCTCTTGAGAAAATGACAATAAAACGAAATCGTGTGTATCGTGAAATGTAGCAACAGCACAATGAAAAATTAAAAATACGTAAAATGCAGACTAAAACGAAAAAGTAGTGAACTCGAAGACTATTTCGGCGAGGACTATTTCGAAATCAATTTTCAATGAAATACGCTATACGCCAACAACAATGTAGGCAACCAGTGCACTCATTGAAAATTGCTGATGAAAGCTGAAATAAGCGCTGTGAGAAAAAAAAAACGGCTTTGTGTAACGGGCAACGAAATATAAATAAGGCGAGTGGAAGAATCCACAACCAACGTTCCAATAACCGCCCGACCAACAGCACACTCCCCTGCGTCCACCTACTGTGTACACAGCTTACAAGATTTGGCCGCTCAGCGAAATTGTAGAAGGTGAAAAATTCAATTGAAGGAAAGGGAAAGTCATGGTGGAGCTTGTTTTATGCGGACATTTTGGTCGGCGACGTTTTGGTGCGGTGCTGAAAAGCACAATGGAAATGTACAAAAAATACTTGTGCATATGCATGTATGTGTGTGTGTGTGTTTTTTTTTATTTCCAATTTGAGTGTACAAACAGACATTTGATGGCTGACGCTGGCGGCAGTTTCGCAAATGCAAATCGCACGCGAAGACATCGCACGTTAGCAACGCTAATAACAGCAACAACAAGAAAAAGTCTTATGAAAGCAACAACCACAATAAAAGTGCAGTGTAGGCTTCGACACAATAAGCACTGGAGGTCTCCCCTTCGCTACCAGTATCAAAGCTCGAACTGTTTGTTTTTCTTATGCCGTCAATGTACATATGTGGCATGTAAATAGTAGTTAGTGAGTACTTTTTGCGCCTACTCGGTGCAATCGCGTGTGCTCGCCGCAGTAGTAATTTGGGTAAAACTCAGTGATTTTGGTGCTTCGCTTTTGCGGATTTTAGTTAATTTTTTTCTGCTGCGCTTGGTTGCCTTTATTGAAGAGTCAAAATTGTGTGCCCAATTTTTTTGAGTGTGTGTATGAGTGTGTATATTTTTGATTACTAATATGCTTCCGCGGTGCAAAGAGTGCAAAGAGCGGCGTGACATGGCGGCACAATTTTCTTTCATTTTTTATTTTTCTGTATTTTTTTTTTTGTTATTTTTCTTTCATTGCCATGACTTCAATTGTTACAATGTTTTCAATATTTTCCCTGCTGGCCGAGCCTTTGCCATATAGTGAGTTGGGAAAATCTAAGTTTGACTTTGCGCTTAGGTGTGCCATTAGTGTGTACAGGCAAGGTGCGGCGGCGTTTACAGACGACTCGCTCGAAAGATGCGGTAATAGAATACGCGACGCCGGCAGGCCATCTAAGCAAAAGTGAGGCAGTCACGGTTTTTTCAAAGTGTGCGCAAAAAAACAAGACGAAAATTAATCACAAACTTAAATTGAAAAAACCAACCCACTGTGGTGTTAATGATAAAATGAAAAGAAAAAGTGAACTGCTAAACTTTATCTAGTAGTAAATACTCGTTTATGTGTAAATGTATGTGCCAAAAGTGTAAAAGTGCGATGTGGCGACATTTGACGCGCAAGTGAAAATAATTAAAAGCAGTCTCAATTAAGCGCTTTAATTTAGCGCTAATCAAATAAACACTAGACAAGCTGTACACAGTGCACTAAGCAGAGACAGCAAAAACAAATACATACATATGTACGTGTTAAAATAAATATAGTATATACTTTTAAACTATGCAACAAATAATAATATAAGCAAATATCGTTTGTTTTCTAGTTTTTTGCGAAATTGCGACGGTTTTCATATAATTAATGTATACAGCTTGTTTTTTTGTTGTAAATGCTTTTAATATCAGGAAGCCAGCTCTTAAACACATAATTTATCTCAAGTGTTTAAGTTTAACGCCATTTAATATGTTTGAAAAAGGCTTGCAATGCTGCGCTCTGCCGTTAGCCGCGCGTTCGCAGAAAAAATTCATAATTAAAAGACTTAAACAAATTAAAACAAAAAGTTAACATGCAATATTACAGATTGGCAGCTTTTAGCGCATTGTTAGCTGATTTTCATGTACATACACATGTACTTATGTGAATGTGTGTGTGTGTGTTTTTTTTTAATACTTTTTGAGGATACGCCAAAGGTTGGTGTAAATGTTCCAAGCTCTATTTGGTGTTTGTGTGTGTGCACATGTGCGGCTTTTTGTACCGCCAGTTATGGATATTTGCCCCAAATTTTCGTTATTCCGTTGTTATGCTTACCGGCACCAGCGGCAGCGTCAGCGTCAGCTTACTCTTCGTTTATTTTTATTTTACTATTTTTGAACATTTTATATGTATCTAGTTGTGAAAGAATTGAATTGTGTAAATTCGTAAATTCTTGAAAATGTGCTAAATATACAGTTGTCAGCGTTTGTTTTGATATTCGCTAAATACCAGTATTTGCACCTTCCGCACAGTTCGTCTACTAGACACCGCCGCTGTTGTTTATTTTATTACGTTTTATTTTGTTTTTCTTTGCTATTTTCGCTAACAACCCGTTTGGCGTGCGGGTGTCTAAACGCCGCTCCCGCCACTGCCAACCTCACTGCAGTTGTGCAAGTCACTCAATAACGAGCGCATTTCGCAAATTTATTGTGTTCGTAACTAAACACCTGACCCGTACTTCCTAGCGCGTCGCGCTGTCGCCGCTGAAAGGCGTCGCTTGCAAATAAATTGATTAAATAGTGAGCGAAATTGTTATAATTGAAATTTACTGTGTTGTGTAAATGTTGCAAGTGAAATGTACACGTTTGTTGTGTAGAAAATAAATCAAATTTGACATTGTGGGGATATATATAAGCATGCGGCTCAAATGTCTACTTATTTATACATATTGTGTGTAAAAATTTTAATTTCAATGTAACGAATCTCATCTCGTTTGTTCTGTTACCCGCGCATTTGTTGCTGTAATTTTATTTAGAAAACAATACACTGCATCACTAGCGGAACTATCGCTTACACGCAAGTAATTCTCTTATGTGTGTGTAGTGTGCGTCTTTTGAGGTCAACGGCATCACACCAACGTTGTCAACTCTTCCAACGAACGACCTAAAAAAGTCATGCAACAGCCAACTACTATTATTCTCTGGGCCAGCACACACACACATTTGTTGGTTAGTGCAAGTCCACAGATTATTTTTAGTGATTTCTATATCTACGCGCCTCTAGCTCCGCCGCTGTTTACATGCTCGTCGCAACCTAGCAACGAAACAATACGCCGAGTTGGTGACTTCGTTTTTGCTCTTGCCTGTGCGTTGATAGCAGCAGCATTCGTATGCATGCTATCACTATGCTTATGTGCGTTGATTTCGTTTGTGTATCTGCATGTAAGTGGCAGCGCTTAAATATACGCACATACATATATGTACGTATATAGTCGCACGCGGGTGTAACGTGTTGTAACGCAGGACGCGAACGTGTCGGTTATTCTAATAACCTTCGGGTGTAAACAAATTTAAAGAGCGGAATTTATGAAGAAAAGCTTTATGCTATGCCCATGCTATGCAGCTGTATGCTAGGCACATAGTTTGGCAATCAGCCGAAACATGAAAGGAATTTCTCTCGCATTTGTGTGAGTCTTGCAGTGCGCAGGTGCTTGGGGTCGGAGGTTTATACATACAAACACACATACATACGTACATGCGTGTGCTATGTGTCAGCACACTTGATGGGCATAAAAATACAAATGAATATTATCTCACCTCTCACACTGCGCCAAGCAACTATGTCTCATCGCAGAGCAGACAAAAGCAGTGACTAATCATGCAAAATCTGTGGCTTTGACCAGTGTGGCGTGCATACTTTATGTATACATACATATATGTGTGTCAATTTTTGTGCTTTATTTTTTTTTTGTTGAGGCTGTTGCCACCTTGCCGCTCTTGTTCGCTCTGTCCACTTGTCCGTTTTCATTTTTATCGCTGTTCTTTCGTCCCGTCTAACCCATAATCCGTTCATGCGTCAATTTGCATGTGCAGCGCTCAGATACAATGGCACATTGTAGGCGAAAGTGTCGTTACTGTTATGAATGAATACACACACGCTGGCGCATACAACGAGTCAATGTGCTATTTGCAAATGCCGTCGGTGTGGTGAAATACGGCAAGCAAGCAGAAGCCTTGTATGCATTGTTATCAGCGAAAAGGCTGGAGAACAAGCTAGCAAAGTGCCGATAACTATGAAACTACAAGTATATTTTAATAATATACATGCAGATACTTATCAACAGCGATAAGTAAATGTGTTTTTTATTTAAGAAAAGTTTGAATTAAATGTGATAATAATGTCTGTTCTTGTTGTTACTTTGCTGTTTTCAAGTGTGTTCGCAGTGAAAAATGCATTTAGTCTTGTGTAAATAGCAGAATTTATTAAAATTTAATTAGAGCTTAGTTTTAAATCAAGTTAAAATTTATTATGAACTTTTAAATGCTAAAATAGCATGAACAGTTGGAACTTTGTTTGCTTAAAATCCATAAAATCGAAAGTGTTTTACTAAAATATCAATAATTATAAAAGTGATTTATGTTCTTAGCTGCCCAATATGTTCGAAGATTGTAGCGCTGTCCTGGACAATAAATTATGCCAAATTTCGTAAAGATATCTCGTCAAACAAAAACGTTTTTTTGGCAGTTATATGCTATACTGGTCCAATAACGGCGATTCCGACATATGAGCAGCTGTTTGGAGAGAAACTTGCATTTGCAAAATGTCTGATCGATTTCTCTAAACCTTTTTCACGTATAGATAGACAGTTGGACATGGCAAAATTAACTCGGCTCGCCACACCGATCATTTATACTTGTATATATGTATGTATGTATATTTAATAAGTTCTCCGACGTTTCCTTCTGGATGTTACAAACTTCGTGGCAAACTTTATATACTGTGTACAGGGTATAAATATGATTATATGAGCGATATTGTTACTGAGCCTATTAGAGGAAAGCACCGTGTATAATAATAACTACAATTGACAAGTTAAAAGCATACGTATACTGTAATGATAAGAAATAGATAAATCTATAAGAAGAAAAAAAAAACAAAAAACACAGCTTGTCTCTAGGGTAGCAGAAAATTTTCTTATCTTATTAGTTGGCATTCATTCAAGCACAAAAAATGCGTAAATAATTTAATAATCTATACACAACTGCTACCCGCGCTGACGACAATACAATTTTGCCTATCATCATGCGTTGCCAGAACAGAAATTTGTGTAGAAACCCTTTCATACCCAAAATTCTACAACACAGCGCAGAGCGCACAGCATCTCCGAACATAAAAACTACCTGATTTGTCGCCAACGCCACTTAATCGAGCCTGACTGACCGCTTACCTGTCACATGCGCGCATTCCTCGGTTTTTATTACCACGCAGCCAATTCAATATTTCGATTCTTATGCTAGCTGCGGTGTGTGGGTCCCATGAGATCGCTTTGCACGATTGTTTATTTACTTTTTTAGATTCAATTTTTTTATTTTTTTTCTACAATATTTGTTGTGCGTGTGCGCGCACAATTATAATGCATTACCTGCAGGCATACAGACATACATATATACATGTGTATGTACATAATTCTTCGTTTGAAGCACTCATTAATAACATATTTTTTTCCTATCTTTTTTATGCTTGCAGATTGTAACAACAACAAGTGGCACCAATGTTAAAGCGCAGAATCTCCAACAACACACAAGCAGAGCGCATAAGTGAAGTGAAATAAGTAAATAAATAAATAAAAGAAATATTAAAATGAGCAAAAAATCATAAAACTATATAACTGTGTACTTATGTCTTATGTAAGTGTAAGTGAACTCAAAAGGCACACACACAGCTATAACTAAATATAACAGTTATAAGATATCTTGAAAGCAAAAGTGCGTGTGTATGTGTAGCAGAAATTGAGTCTTATTAAATTTATTTGTTGCTGCTATCGCGACGCTTTCAACATTGTTGCCAACAATTGCGAGTGTCGTTATCGTCGTGGCGCACCAGTAGCAATGCAAAAAATATATATGTGAAGTAAAAAGGCAAAAAGCAAAAAAAAAAATTGTGAAATTAACATAAAAAAATACGCGTGACTGTAAATAAGCAGAAGTGAGTAAGTGCATAATAAGAAAGATAAAAACATACATACTTATATGAGAAAGACAATAACAAAGTGTAAAAGTCGCCCATTAAAAAAAACTAAACACTGTTTGTCAGTGTGCGCGTGCGTGTGTATTTGTGCAGCGTTTTCAACAATTTCAACAAGTACTGCAGAAATCACAATACAGTGAAATACTAAGTGCAGCAAGCAAGTAGAAGATCGGCTGAAACAGAAATGAACAGCGTTGACGGCGCACCCAATGCCACGATTTTAGCTGAGGGAGCCCCAACGAGCGCGACGGCAACGCCAAGCGTAACCGCAAAAACAAAAAATACAAGCGCAAAACCAACAACGCCAACAACAACTGCTGCAACTACTGTGCGCACTAAAACAACAGATTCGTCGACAACAACAAATACGACAAGCGTAATAAAGCCAACGGACGCTGATGCCACCGATGAATTCCACGAAAGCGACAAAAATGTACGCCACGTTGTCGTCGATGAGCAACAGCAGCAGCAACCAGAACAAAAACAAACACGCCGTAATGAAGCGCCAATAAAGCAAATAATAATAACAAAAACCATAAGAGCAACAACAGCAGCAACAGCAACGGCGAACGGCGAAACAGCAACTGCAACAACAACAATGGGCAATACTAATAAAACCAATATTGAAACAACAGACAAGACTACTGACGCAGCAACAACAACAACAACAACAGCGACAGTAACAACAATTGAGACAACAAAAAGCATTCAAGATGCGAAAAATAACGACGTTCCAATGACAGATATGCCAAACGCAGAAGACAATCGCGACGTCAACGGCGATGAAGAGGATGACGGCGGTGGCGGCGCTGACGACGGTGGGAATGACACTACCAGCACCAACACCACTACAACAATGGCCGCGGGGTCCACCGCAACTGCCGTCATTGATAACATAACGACGCCGGCTAAGCCACAGCCATTATTGACGGCGGAAGGCGATAATTGCGAACTCAATGAGTTGGAATTGTGTCGCTGTTGTGGCAAGCCCAATGTCACGCTCTATGATCTCTTCCCCAACGTCCCAACAGACAAGGCAAATACAATACTGGAGGGCGACACAAATCTAGACGCCGTTGCAGTAAATATTAAAACAACAGTTGATGTAAATCAAGCGACAGTGTGCGATATTGCTGCGAATGTTGCCAAAAATGGAGCACAAATACACAACAACAAAACGGTCGTTGACACAACCAGTGTTGCAACGAAGACAGATGACAATCCAAAAACGAATACACCGAAGCGTTGTTATCGCACTATTGCCGCATCTATTGCTGCGGCAGCCGCCAGCGGTAGCAGCACAACGACTGGTTCGTGCAGTGCTGGCGCTCCCACCTGCCAAAAAACCAATGACCCAATTGTTGGCATCGCCATCAATAGTGATGTTGTTGCTGCTGATCGCGACGCAGAGGTCGCGCCATCGACAGCAACAAAAAGTGCTGCGCGTGTGAAACAATCTGCAACAGTTGCCGCGACGGCAAACGAGAAAAATGTGGACGATGCGACCAACAATGCAGAGGCGCAGAACGCCAATGCCCAGGCACAAAACAGCGACAACATGGAGAATATTTTGCAAGAGATGCAAATTTGGCGACTACGGGTGAGTCTCATAGCAATATTTTCGATACTGATTTTTACTACGATCGTATGCAAGGTCCATGCTTTGACTTTCCCAAAAGTATTATTTACATTGCTATGCTACAGTTGTGTTGTAAAAAAACACACACACACAGAATGTTCGTGTTTGCAATTTTTGCACTTTTTACAACGGCTACAACAAGCTCTTACATAATCTTATAATTTATTTCTTTAACTAATTTGTTTGCATTTGCAAAATATGGTTTGTGTGATTGCATCTTTATTATTATTTATTTGTGTCGAACGCCTTGGGATTTTGGCAATAATTCATCGGCAAATATGAGTTGTTTTATGCTACTTGCTTTCATGAGCTTATAAAATGAAAGGACTTGTGTTTGAAATAATATTAGTATAGTCAATGATCAGCTAGCGAGCTGTCGCTATGTTTGCTCAACAAGTTGGTTTTGTGAGAGGCTATGTTATTTGAGGTTAGTTTGCTTTTTCCATAATTCATAAGATACTGTTATACAAACGGTTATAGCTGTAATCCTTTTCCAAATTTTCAATGAGCTCAAATTTGAATAGATAAACTCTGTACAACGAACGCTGCTTGAAACTGGCTTGAAATTTTTCTATTTGCTTCGAGAAATATTTAAAATCTCAAATGATTAAAGGAAAACAGGGGACGGGAAATGATAGTATGAACTCCGCTTGCAAAAGAACCACTGAAAAATAGTTTATTATTGACAAATTTCAAACAAAATAACTCGACGTCTTTCGGTCTGCCGTCGCTTCCTACACAGCGAGCAGTCGTTTTGAGTACAAAAAAAATCGTAAGTAGAGATTTAACTTCTTTAGACAATGTGCCATTGCTGTGCAACTGATCTGATTAACGATTACTTTTCTAACACTAAAGTTAGCAACAATGTAAACATTTGTGGTTATGTCAGTATTCTACAAATTTTCCTCCTAATTAACGCAACACCTCTCTAACTCTTAAAGTTTTGTTTGTATTACGCCTTCAACACTATCCATTATATATGATCTTTACAAATTAATCAAATGGACTAATATAAACCGTAATCTCTATAAATTATCCACCAATTAGTGGTTTTCGTTTTGTTCGAACTTTTCCTCAAACCAATCATCATTAGACCTATTATTCAATCAATATTAAGCTTTTGATATGAATCTTTTATTTACAAGCATGTCTGACGCGCAAATAATTTTCGATAAACATATGTACATAGGCAGTGGTAGTTCGCCGCAATTAATATGTATAAGTAGGCGATGCCCTTTTGTAGGTGTTACAACCGTTTATCAGCCGCAAAGATACATACACACATACAAATGTTTGTAATTTATTGACTTTGCTGCAATTAGTCTACCTAATGATTGGTGCTAGCCACCCCTGTTGTGAGTTCAAATCACATAACCTCAAATCAGCGACGGAGGTTATCTTCATCGCTACGCAATGTCATTTCTTTGTTTGCTTAACAAATGATAGTCAGTCATGACTTAACCTTTTTTCTTGAACGTTCACATACGCACTCATCATATAAGGTGTCGATATATGTATACATATATGTATATTACTCAGAAATATTTGCTTTTAACGACGCACATCTGTTTGAATTATTTGGCCATCAATTCGCTGTGTGCGCTGAGTAATGTGCATGCGCGCATACGCAATGCCACCCACAATGTTTGTATGCCCAAAAAATCCACAAAATTGATGTGAAAATAAAAAATCGAAGCCTGTCAATTTGAAATCGCTGGCCATTTTTCATTTTTTTTCGAGCATTCGATTTTAATGTATTGTCGTAATTGTTCGATTTTTCTCACGCGCTCCCTCAGCACCCAATCAGTTGGCCAATTCACATACTTGTAGCTTGGTTTGTTATTTTCTTCCATTTTTTAAACTTCTATTTGCTGTTATTCCATTTGTGAGAGATTGTGTTTGTGCGCTTATCGTACAAGCTTGTGAACATGACTCCATTAAGTTTTATACTTTTTTTTTGAGCTAAATGAGTATGATTGAGGTTTCAAATTTATTTTTCTTTTCACTTTTTTATTTTTATGCTTTTCATATACAATGTTTGAATTTCTAAATTGTTATTTGTTATCTTTTTCGCATAAATTTCCTCTTATTCATTTGCAAAATTACTTTAGTAACATAAAATTAATTTATTTGTTTTATTTTTGTTTTTATATTGAATTTTAATTTTTTCATTTATAATCAATTTATTTTGTTCATATTATCACTTTTGTTTATATTTTTATTTTATATTTTGATTATTTTATTCAATATTATATTTTTTTGTTATATTTTTCGCCAAGGTTTCCTTTTGTTCATTTGTCATTTTGACTTTATCAACATAAAATTCATTTATTTGTTTTATTTTTGTTTATATATTTATAATACATTTATTTTTTTATTGTTATCAATTTTTTTTTAAATATACTTCGCTTTAGTTCTTACTTTATGAAATTTTACGATTGTACATTTATTTGTTTATGTTTGAGTTTATTTTTTTGGAATACATTTTTATTTTGTTTTTGTTTTTTGCAAATTTATATTACATGATATTTCCTCATTTTAGAATATTTTAGTTATTCTTATGTTTATATTTTTGTTTTTATATATTATTATTGCTGCTTTTACACTTTTATAATTTTTAAATGTTTTATTACTCATATATAATATAGTATGTATATAATATAATTATATAATCATTGTTTAATTTGATATGTATATATTTTTAACTCTTTTTTTGTAATTTTTACTAATGATTTTTATACATTTTCTTCAATTTGGTTAATAAAGAAGTCAGTAATTTTGTTTGTTTTTATTTTTTCTTAATTTTAATTATATTATTTTTTATTTAATTGTTGAATTCACATAATTTTATATGCTTGTGATTTTTATTATTTTATTGTTTTATTCGTTTTTGTTATTATTATTTTATTTTATGATCATATTTTTTTTTAATTTTCCACTAATATATTTAATTCTATTATTTCTCAAATATTCATAGTAGTTGCAAATATTTCTTTAAAAAAATCAAAATATTTCAATGCGTGCTATACATGTTCTAATTTCCTCTCTGCCTCTCTTCTCTTCACCACAATTATTTCTGGCAACTTTTTTCCTCTTACGACCACATACGGGTTCCCTACGCAAATATTTGCTAATCCTTAACTTGATTTTAACACAAAAACGAGCCGACATTGCCAGACTGCTAATTGGTCGCCCAATTTTGTTGTTACTTTTGTTATTGTTGTTGTTTTGATTTTATGACTGCGCTTAAATGGCCACTAAACATATATTTGATTTGCCATAGTTTAATGACGGCCCAAGCGTTGGTTTACTGAATGGCTGAAAGACTGCATATAAACACGCTTAATAAATACCCATAAAAGGGTATTCGGTATTTTAGTATATCTCTATATAGATTAGTGACTTATAACAGTAAGATTTATGCTTTTATTGCGCTAATGGCAGTTGGTGCGTTCCTTCGTTTCACCTTTCATGCTTCGTCCATTCGCACATATCTTTATTGGTGTATGGATGTGTGTCAATAAGTGTGTGTTGTTGTTGTCACTTACTTTGTTTATTTGTTGTTCGCAAATGAATCACGTGTGCTCGATTTTTATTGCTTTCATGCGGCAATAAAAACGATAAGAGCGCAATTGCAACAACAGCAACATCGTATTTAAATACAGACAGACATACTTGTAGTTCTATAGTAACCGAGATATGCAAGCAAAACTACTTATTTATAACACAAACGTTCGCAATAAAGTATCACATGCAAACAGCAATATAGTATAAGTCAGTAACCACTTCCGCACCCTAAGTAGATATTGGCACGCATACATACATACATACTTACAGACATATAATGTAATGCTCCACTAACGATTGTTATTGAAGCTGCCCTGTGGGAAAAATAAGATTTCGAATGTCACAAAAAAGAAGCATTATAATATGTATAAAGATACAGAACAGGCAGAAAATGTGAGGATGAATTTGTCAAAGTTATAACAGCCTAGCCTAAAAAGCATCGCATAATAACGCTTTTTAGTAAAGCCGCAGATGGAACCCCTGATAGAATCGTTCTTAAAAAAGTACGACCTAAATCTTCAAAACCCTGAACAATTTTAATTTGTCTTAAAACAGCGCTCTTTATTGAGTCAATTAAGTTTTCAACTGATCGCAACCCACAATCTTTCTTATTTCTATTTAAAGAAATGTCAAATAATTGCATTTAATCGTTTTAAGAAACTATTAGCGATTTCATATATGTTATTAATTAAGTCAATTAACAAATTTGATCAAATAAATTGAGACTATTTAACTTGATTGCAAAGCAATACAATAATATTTGCTTAATTTGTATTTCGTGTAATTAATTGAGTTCAATTAAGTCTTAATTGAGTTAAAATAACTTATTAAACTCTTAACTTATTAATATATAATTAAGCCAATTAGATTTGATAAATTGTGTAGTTAATCGTGTTTAATTAAGTCTTTATTGAGTTCAATTAATTTATTAATCTCTTAACTTATTAATATATTATTAAGATAGTTACATTTGATAAATTGTGTACTTAATCGTGTTCAATTAAGCCTTAATTAAGTTGAATTGACTTATTAGTATCTTAACATATTAATATATAATTACGACAATTGATTTATTGTATAGTTAATTGAGTTCAAATATTATCTTACTTAAGTTCAATTAATACCTTATTTGCTTACAACATTTCTACTTAATTCAATTACTATTAGCTGTAAATTTAAGCCAAGTTTAATAAATAGACAGACTTCTTTTAACGATTGCTCTCAATTTAAGAGTTGCTTCATAATATTTTTGTGACCAACATTTCTGCCTTCAAATCCTCCCAAAAAAACTGCATTTTTTGAGATAGTGGAATTCTCAAAGTTCTTTATAACTATTTTCGTTGCCTCGAATCGCTCATTAAAAGCGTTGCTTCAGTGTTTGTTTGAACAAACTT